TATCCCCAGCCCCTTAATTGCTTTCCAATTAAGTACAAAGGGCTTTTCAAGTAAGTACAAGGGTTTCTTCCTCTGTGGATCATAAACAAATTCCAGAAATGAATGGAGAGGGGGCAACAAGACCTATACTCACATACAAAAGTAAACTCACACTATTATGGGTCAGAAGCCAGGTAGAAGCTCCTGATCAACACCCTCAATTTTTGCATTCGCTGAGTAATGACAAATACTGTGCTTCCACATCGGAGTCTAGTTTTATTTCTGCAAGTCTTTTCTTACGGACAGACCAAGCCGATCTGATTTGTAGCTGATGTGTTTAATCTAATCATATTTATTGTGACTTTCCAATATTTCTACCATTCGAATTGAAGTTTTCTTTTTATAATTTCACATCTTTAGTTTTTCTTTCTGTTTGTTTTCTAATTATTACTGTACTTTACAGTATTCATGTTCACCTCATTAACAAAAGTTTAGCATGGTCTACCCTCATTAATTGAAGACTGACATTAGTAGTCTGAGTATTAGTTTACTTTTAATCACAAAATTAGTTAATATTTTGTGAAACAGTTGTTAAATTTGCCAATGTCCTATAAATTTTTAAATAAACCATATATCTAAATTATCATTCCATTTATTCTATGAATGCTTTACTTGCTAAGCCATTTTTTTCTCTCTCTCTTTTTTTTTTTTTTTTGTACCAGGAATCAAACTCAGAACCGCACACTTGCCAGGCAGGCACTGTACCACTGATCGAAATCCCCGGCTCCTAAGCCATGTTTTCAAATAGATCTTTCAGAAAATACCTTTGATGGTTTTGCTCACTTAGGGTTGGCCTGAAAACACATTTACTTTACTATTACTCTTAAATGATACGTTAGGAAAGATATTTCCTGTGGATTTTTCTTTTCCTATAGATCTGTGAATTTATTATAGCCTATATTCTGACATCTATTTTAACCGCTAAGAAACTAGTTTCAATCTCACTGTCATTTATTTATAGAAAATCTGTATTTTCTCAGCACTTTAAAGGCTTCAGTTTTGGCTATCTGTATTTCATGCCACGGTACCTAAGTGGATTCTTGTAAAGCTGGCTGGCTTTATAAGTACTGGCTCAGTATTTTCTTCAATCTAAAATAAAACAAAACTAAAAACATTAGTAGTAGTCTTTTAGGTATTTTCCTGTATCATCTGTTTTATTTTTACATTCAGAAAACTTGTTTACTTACCATGAATCAATTTTTTTTTTTTTTTTTTTGTAACAGGAATTGAACTCATGACTTCAGGCTTGCCAGGCAAGCGCTTATGCAGCTGAGCTATATCCCTGGTCCGCACTTACCATGGAATATCATATACTTTTCAAATTGGTTCTATTTTCTACCCATCTACTCTTATTTAATATTATTTAATTATGTCCCATAAATTCCTTTCATTTTATAGATAGTGTTTATTACTTTGGGGCCCCAGACACATTTTCAAATCCTCTTCAGGCTGTTCTGATGCTTCTCTTTAATGCTTTCATTATTGATGTATTTAGTATTATACTATTAGCTGTCATCATGTGAAGAGATTTTTATAGGACAGTTTTGAGTAGTTTTCTCAACTCACTTTTTTCCTACCCCTCACCATAGTCTTTTTATGGTGATTACATAATAAATTCCATATGGTTACCCTAGATCAGAATGCAAATCCAGATCTGTATTAGCAGTCTGGTGTATCTGCAATCAAGTAATAGTGAGAAATAGGTAATACTGGAGAATTATTAGGAGATATTCGAAACAGAAGCTCTTAGCTAATAATTTCAGTCATAATCTCATGGAAAGTTTGGACATCTCTATCTTTTTTCCTTTTGTAAGATGTAGCCCAAGCCCAAACATCTTTCCTATGTGTGCCTCTTGCTACCAATCCCTGGATTTAAGACAGGAATACGCATCATTTACGCACATGACAAGAGTAATTTTGAACTTTACATGAGCATAACTCTCAGCCATAGAATTCTGACTGCTTCAGAATGCTGAAGCATGAGGGCTCTGGCCAGGCAGATCTTTCCAAGTATATCTCTCTAATACTTTTAGGGTTTATCTACCAATGCCATGGTTTTACAGCTTCGGTGGGGAAGGGTGGAGAAATTATTACCTAAAGTAGTACTATTTTTAAGAACAGAAACAAAGCTAGCTCTTTTCAATATTTATGAGTGATTCAAATCATCTTCATATATTTTACATCTTCTACTGTAAGCATTTCCTAGCACAATGCTTTAGTTGATTATATGCTTTATGATATTGTAGTGGTCCCAATGATTTACATGCTGCCAGAGAAATTTCATTATACATAAAAATACATTCAAGACAGGGTCACAAAAATTTATACTTGCAACTGCTTCTTGAAAGATCACACATAGAAGTTTCAAAAAGAGAATATTTTCGTATGTTTTAAGACTATTATTCCCATACATGCACAGACACATTCATATGCACACAAACCCACAGAGAACTGACATCTTTTTTAAGAAAATGAATGTTTCTATCCAAAATTTTGATCTTTAGAATTTAAAGTATCTTTTATTTATTTTTTATACAAAGAACACTATAAAATAAGTTGAGAGATAGAAAAAAATATAAGATTGTTCCTTATGTTTATTTCCAACTTCTTTGTGTATGCAATTCATGTTGTAAGTAAACTATTTAGGTTCATATTACCTTACTGTTATTTAAAAGAAGAACTTATCTATTTTGTATTAAATTTAATTACATCTTTGCTTAATTTTGTATTGATTTTTAGTTTTTATGTCACTCGTAGTTTTGCCAAAATGATGATTTAATCTCTATTCTATTTCCTTCGGCCTTTACAACAGTTTTCCTACCTAATTTAATCTTCTACTCTGAGAAAGAAATTAAAGTATGATAGAAATATTTCCCTTTATCTTACTTTAAAAGAAGGTCTCTTCTCTTCTGTGAAATATAACATAGCAAATTATTTCTTTGACATAGGTGGTTTCCCTATTGTTGAGTGTTTTTTTTCAACATTAACAGTTTTCAAATAGAAGTGGACAATAAAAGAGGACTTTGAATACAAAGAAATAGAATTCACAATATATTAAGAATTATGATGTATAAAATAATAATGCTTATACATTTATATGCCAAATAATGTTTCAAATTCTTAAAATATATTCCTCCATTAAATCTTTTAGAAAATTCTCTGAAGTGGTAACAGATATTACCCATACAAAAGACAAGAAAATGGAGATACACAGAGATTGAGTGTCTTACTCTAAGTAATAGAGCTGATATGTATTAACCTGACTTGTGTCCTTGAGACCCATTAGGGTTTTTACCTTCCGAACATTCACATTTATTCATAAAATTTTCTGATGAATTATTTATAGTTCATTTAAAAAGTTATTTTATTTTTTTAAAGGTGCATTTAGAAACTAGTAACTATTTCATTATAGAATTACTATATCTAAATTCAAACATAGAAAATGTTAAAATTCATCACACTATGTTCTTTCAGGAAGGAGAATAATTTCAAATTATGAAACAATGTAGATTTAATTTCTTTTTTAAGTATAATTAAAGTTGCTAAAATTCTCACAGCCTGATCTACCTTTGCATTTTTTGATACATTAGTTCCTGTACAATTTCTCCAGGGTCTGGTCCACTGTTGGTTCATAATAAGTGTATTTTGGCAGTGGACAAGTAAATCCCTTTAGGGAAATGAACGGAAGAGAAAGTTAAAAATTAAAAAGAGAGTCTGATGATTCTCAAAACATTTCCAAGTAGTTCATGCCAGAACTGCCTCCCCAGCATGCTTGTCTCTCCCGACATATGAAGCCATTCCTTCAGCTTGCTGACATTTCCAATACTTTAATTGGGACACCATCTCCTTATTATAGTTTGCTTCAGGGATCCAATAGTACCAATGGAACATTTTAAATGGAATCGCCCTCAGGCCAGTTCCTTCAATGTGCCCAAATGATAACTGATGAATATGCTTGTCTTAATTCTTTCTTTTAAATTGTTCCTTTTCTCTTTTGCTCCTCATTGTAAATTTCAATTTATTTCCTGCATCTTTCCACTACAAAGGTTTTAGGCGTTACACTACTTCACTTTGTTAAACATTATACTCTAATAAAAAAGGAAATTTCATAAAACTACAAATTAAGTTTGTATTTAATTTCATAAAAATACAAAAGTAATACCACGTAGATATGTTACTCATTGTTTTGTCAACATAAATCAGATGAGAGTCACAGGATTTATGACGGAGTGGAACACAGACATTTTAGTATCTGAAAAGTGATTACGCTGTAATGAACTTACTAGGATTTTGTGATATAAGAAAACCAAATCTTGTCTAAAAAATCAGTAAAAGAAGGGGGGAAAAAAAAAAACAATAGATCATGGATGACATAAGCACAGTGGGAATATTGTTATGTCCACTTTGAAATCTGGAAGGTCAAAAACTTAAATCTAGTTTACAAGAAAAACATACATTTGAATACCTTAATAACACTTTTTCTAAGAAATTTACTATTCTGAACAAAGCCAGAATAAAGTTGATATATGGGAACAAAACCAGGAAAGAAAAACATTTTAGCATTTTCAGGAATACTACAGTTCATAGCATAAAAGTATATTTTAGGAAACACAAAAAATGTTCATATCAGCACTGATAACATCACTCAAAATAAATCATATGTTATAAACAGAAGAATAGATAGATTTTCTTTCATATTCTCACAGGTATTAATCAACAATAACTATGGGCATATATAACATGAATAAATATGAGTAACAAACTACTATATGAAAAAAGAAATTGAAGATAACATTGCAGAATTTGTTTAATAAAGTTCAAAGCAAGCAAATAAACAATATTTTTTGAAAATAAAAAGTATATCCAGGAAAATTACTTTTAAAAAAAGCAATGGGAAAGCGCCTGCCTGGCAAGCGCAAGGTCGTGAGTTCGGTTCCCGGTACCGCAGAAAAACCAAAAAAAAAAAAAAAAAAAAAAAAAAAAAAAGCAATGGGTTGTGAGGAACACAGAATTGAAGATGGCGAGTGTGGTAGTGAGGTCAGGAGGTCAAAAGCCAGGAAGACCACATCAGGTCTTAATAGAGTTAAGTTAAAAAAGGAGCCATGTGCTGTTCAATGATGATAACCAGTCAAAAACCAAGGATTTGAATGAAATTAATTCATGCACCTGAAAAAAAAGGGAAAAATTATTGACAAATTTAAAGAGAAAAATTTCCAACTATGTTTGACACAGAATTCATTCAGTTTCTACAGATGGCAATCTGAACTTAAGTCAACCATGGAGTTCTTTAAAACCAGAACTGAACTATCAGCTTCAGAAATAAAAGATGCCTAAGAAAGCGTTTGTTCACACTGTTCCTTTTCAAGATAAAAAGCTGGAAGTGGGAGGATGGAGACAAAGTACGTTTTGTCATGCTTCCAAAATTCACATAAGATACAGTACAATAGCAAAAGGGAATATTAAAGATTTGCATGAAAATATTATGGATTCCTGCTTCATTAGTTGGAATTTTCCTAAGAATGGTTTCATGAGGGGAGGATTTGCTTTGTTACAAGTCTCAAAGTTCATGCCACAGAATTGGAGCTTCTTTTCAGTTTAAAAAATGTTAAAAGATTCTTAAATAATAAAATTTTAGCCACAGCATTGCAAGTAGTATGTAGTTAATGACAATACTTACTGAAGATTGCTAATCATCAAAATTGATAATCAAGATGAATGCAGAACAAACACTCTATGAACTATTATTGTAGTCAACTTGAAATGTTGCACGGGAAAAGAATTGAAGGGACAAGAACTCTCTCCCTTGCTCTTTCCCTTTCCAGAAAAGAGAAATTAAAACAAAGTTTAACTTAGGAGAAAGATCTTCAACGGGGAAAAGACTCCAAACACATACACAGATAAATATACATTAAGGTACAATTACGTTTAAAAGCCCTTCATTTTGGTGATGGGAAAGGAGGGTCTGAATTCTACCTTCATCAAGGAGAATATATATTTTATACTCCAATAATGAAAATGTGTGCTTGGTTTTGTGTGTATATAAAGATACACATACACAGAGAAGAGAAGCAGATACACATACACAGAGAAGAGAAGCACAGAAGTTTAAAAATAGCTTTGTGTTGAGAACAGAGAACAATTTCAATGATTTCAATTAGGAAACATTTTAGAGCAAGTCTATACGTCTACTTCTGACAGAGGGCCAGACCTTGAGTATCTGTCAATGACAGAGTACTTCAGAATGTGAAGAATATAAAAGGAAGATGCACAAAAATGAGGAATCGATCACAGTAGTTGTGACCAAGAAGAATAAACGATATCAAATATTTGTTCCCTGAATGCTGTTTTGACTTGAAAGTCTGAGATTTAGATAATATTTGAAATAGTTAAAGAAACAGATGACAAGGAGGGGAGGTTTACCCATTAATACTTACGAAATATAGATTAAAGAAGAAACAGACATTTCAAATAAAACAAAAACAGAACCAATAAATCCATTCATAGCTGTAATAACATTTCAAAATGAGGTCTGTTCTCATCTGTTGTCCTTGATGAAGAACTGACCTAGTGACTCACTCCCAGCTCTGTGATTCCACGTGAGTAGTATAATGTTTAATGAGCACACACTCACTTATTTTAGCATTAATAACAGGCACTAGTAAAAATAAGCATCAATGAAAATAATTATCAAAATAAACTTTCAAACATTGCTACAAAAGTCTTTGCATGAAATAAATGATCTAATCTTATAACTGTATTGCTGATATCTGATGATGTATTGAAATGAAGTTAATGATTACAATTTTTTATGTTCTGATTGATTGTGCATGCTTGTGTCTGGTGGTCTGAGCAACTGATTTGAAGGTAACAATATGCAATGGAATTATAATGGTGAACTCCTACCATCTTGTCTAGTGAAACTCTCTATTATCCCCACTGTTTTATCAAAGAATTATTTTCTTATTCCCTATAACAGTTTGAGCAATCTTTCATTCTTACATTGGGTAATGTGAGCCATGTAGTTGAGGATAGCGATATGTAATGTAACAACCACTGATGATTCATATTATTTTGTCTTGAGACTGTATCACTTTGAATGTTCTTGCTTTGATTTGTATATGTTTGTGATACTGGTATGCTGCTACTGTTCTATTTCTTTGTTTGTTTCTCGTTTACTACTCTCTTTAAAATTTAAAAAAAAAACATGCAGTTATTTCAAATCAATATTATTACCAAAGATTGTTTAGAAATTGTATTAAGAAATGACATGATTTTGAATACAAAACATTCCTGCAAACACTGAAATTATTTTAGAAGTCTAATGTAAAGATTAAGCAACAGGTCATAAAATATTTAACAATAAACTGATTCTTTTTACATTTGCCTAGCTCTTTCTTGATTTTTGTGGGTGGATTTTGTTGAAGACAAGGAGCAACGTATTCTCCCCATTTATTATTCAGCATTTGTTAAATTAATGAAAGAATGATTGTGCTATTAAATAAGTTAATAAGTGATCATGTTACTACACTGAATGTGATATACTGTATATCTGCTCTCAACATACTAAGACTACACTAAAATTTGACACTTTCTGTTTAATATTTATGGCTTCCTCTGCCACATCTCTATTAGTTTAAAAAGCTTTTTCTTCCTTGAAATACTGGATCAAGGAAATATTCTCTCTGCTCTTTTATTGACTATTATTTGTTTTTGCATATTATAGTATAACTTTGAACTGTGATTAGTTGTATATATGTTGTATTACACTGTAATGAATTTATACACACTAGGTATTGCATTCACATATTCTATCAGTTTTCAAAGTAAAATTTTTTAATGGCTAGCGTGTGTGTGTGTCTATGTGAGCATATACACACATATACATGAATATATACATACATATAAGCTTAACTCATATTCAAATGCATTCATATTAATTTTATTATATAGACACAACACAGAACAAAACATATTTAACTACTGATGTCCGTATTGTATTAGGTGAATCTTGAGTTCCTTTTAGCTCAAAACATATAATTATAAAGAAAAATCACATGCATCAATGGTTTTCCAACACTGTTAATTATTAATAAAATACTTTCAAAGTATGTATTTGCAAGTCACTTTTCTGGAGATGGTGAGATAGTTAAGTTTGAAGTACAGTAGTCTTCAATCTTTTGATCTTTGAAACTTACAGATTCTGTAGTAATGCCTAATAGCGATGATCCCTAACTCCTGTCATATATGCATGATGCACTATGTGTATCTACAAAAATTTGTTGGCTTATTAATTTTGTATGTAATATTTTACAGTTCTTTCATATTATAAATACAAATATAAAGTTTTTCTCTTCTTAATTTCTTATTTTGTAGGATGTGTATGTATGGATATAAGTAAGTTAATCAGTAAAAAAATGCTTTCTTGTGAAGAAAAAATGAATTATATTCTACTGCATTTTTCATCTCATTAATGGTGCTATCAAAATTTCTGAGACTGAGTGCCGTGGTATATTCTGAGTCTGAATTCAGAAATGTAGCCAAATTTGAAAAATTTAGATAGGTGCCCAAGGATGATAGGGAAGTTCATGAGTATAAATATGGAGATAATTATTTCTACAACCTTATATGCATTTCTGCATGTACAATTTGAACAATGTTATACAGTAACATTGTACAACCTTAGGAGTTACCTTTCAGAGATTCTCTTCAAATTATTAGCACGTTTCATCATAAAAGTTAGCATATAATGTCACAACATATAAGTATATTTAAAGTGTTTCCTGAGCTTCCTTGGACCAAGACAATTTTCCTACTAGGGCATGATTGTGTAGCTGATACATGTGGATCTTTATAAAATATGAATGCTATTTTCCAAAGTTTATGTGTTATTCTTAATAAATAAGATTATTTTTCACCACTGTAGCTACCAGATGGTGGCTCACTGTCAAATTTGCTAAAGTCTAGAGTCAAATACATGCATTCTGGTCCAATATTCCCAAGGCTGATCTCTTTTTTCATCTTTTCATTTTCTAATTTCCATCCCATGAAGGTGGAAATCACTACCCTAACAAAATGTAATTGTGGTTTTCAGCAGTGAAGAGTTTGCCTCAGGTTAAGACTGTCTATAAACTGACAGAAAAAATACACCAAATTTCCCTTTTATCCCATCGCAACATTTGTACATATTCTCTCATGAGATGTCTTACTATCACTTTCCATGAAATCCTGTTTCTCTGCTTCTGAATACTAGTGTTATCTAATGCATTCTTCAAACCTTTTCCATTATTTTGCACTCAACCCATGTCTTGCTAAAAGAATATTCTTCAGTTTAGTGTAAAAACTAAGAATCATAGCTGAAAACCTCCTGGAGGGCAGGGTAGCAAGTTAGGGAAGCAAAATTGGGACAACTAATTCTTAATATAAATAGAATCTGCAAACCAAACAGAATGCAATGTTCTTGTGTCTTTCCATCTTGGTTATTCTACAGATATATTTGATTTTTATTAGTTCTGGAATTTTAAATTCATTATAAATCAACCTATATGTAGGTCTTATAATTAGTAACTACTTGGTCCTTCTGCCCACCTTTTATGTTCTGTTTTCCACTTTGCTTGTCAATTTTCAGGTTTTCAAATTTCATACAGAAATATAGTGTGTAGAGCTCACAAACTGTGCTTCTTTCTCTAGAGGTTCTACTCTGCCTGCAAGGCAGAATGCCTTCATTTCACCCTGCTGCAGTCCAGGAATACAATACAAAGTTCAAAAGAGAAAGAACAATTATTGAAGAAAATATATTTTTTGAACATCTTGACTTATAAATATCTAATCTACATAGAAACTGTTAGTAACTCAAAAGAAATAAAATTAGGGATTGTTTTTGTCCCTACCAATAGATTTGATAGCCATTAAGTAGAATAATCTATTTCTGAATACTTCATTATTAAATTTATCGGGCTTCTTAAAAAAATTCTTTCTCCCACATTGATTACCTTCTGTCTTGATGCATGAATTCTTAGATTTTTAATTAATCGCCCCTGTAATTAGTTTAAGATCATCCATTCTGCTATAACTGTTATTACTGTTATTCCCTGGTTACTCTTATACATAACTTAAACATCCCTGACAAGGCACGCTATTTGCCAGGAGAAAGTTTATGCTGGTTTTCA